GGCATGGAGATCTTGGGGGTCTTGATGTGCACCTCGGGCATCTTGAACTTGGGGCCCTTCCCCTTCCCCTCTGGACACTCCAGCTCAACATTGGGAAGGTCAACGTCAACCTTGGGGCCTTTGATGTCAATGTCTGGGCCCTTCAAATCTCCCTCAATTTTTGGAACAGCCACGTCCACATCCCCTTTCAACTTGGGGCCCTTCAGGTTCAGATCGAAGTCCGGCATGGAGATCTTGGGGGCTTTGAAGTGCATCTCGGGCATCTTGAATTTGGGGCCTTTCAACTTTGCATCTGGACATTCGAGCTCAACATCTGGAGCCTCTATGTCCACTTTTGGACCTTTTACTGTCACTTCAGGCCCTTTCAGGTCACCTTCTACCTTGGGCATGGAAACATCGACATCCCCCTTCACCTTGGGGCCCTTCAGGTGCAGATCGAAGTCTGGCATGGAGATCTTGGGGGCTTTGAAGTGCATCTCGGGCATCTTGAACTTGGGGCCCTTCACCTTCCCCTCTGGGAGCTCAATCTCCACATCAGGAGCTTCTATGTCCAGTTTGGGGCCTTTGATGTCCATCTCGGGGCCTTTCAAGTCACCTTCTAGTTTTGGGGCAGAAATATCCACATCCCCCTTCACTTTGGGGCCCTTCAGGTTCAAATCAATGTCCGGCATGGAGATCTTGGGGGTCTTGATGTGCACCTCGGGCATCTTGAACTTGGGACCTTTAAGTTTTGCTTCTGGACACTCGAGGTCAACATCAGGAATGTTCACATCCAGTTTTGGGCCTTTGATGTCAACATCTGGGCCTTTCAAATCTCCCTCAATTTTTGGCATGGAAACATCGACATCCCCCTTCACCTTGGGGCCCTTCAGGTTCAGGTCAAAGTCCGGCATGGAGATCTTGGGGGCTTTGAAATGCATCTCGGGCATCTTGAACTTGGGTCCCTTCACCTTCCCCTCTGGACCTTCCAGCTCAACATCTGGAAGGTCAACATCCAATTTCGGGCCTTTGATGTCAACATCTGGGCCTTTCAATTCTCCTTCAATTTTTGGAACAGACACATCCACATCCCCCTTCAGTTTGGGGCCCTTCAGGTTGAAGTCAACGTCGGGCATGGAGATCTTGGGGGCCTTGATGTTGAAGTCCGGCATCTTGAACTTGGGTCCCTTCAGCTTCCCCTCTGGACCTCTGGAAGGTCAACATCTAATTTTGGCCCCTTAATGTCAACCTCAGGTCCCTTCAGGTCACCTTCCAGCTTGGGAACAGACACGTCCATGTCTCCTTTCACTTTGGGGCCCTTCAGGTTCAGGTCGATGTCGGGCATGGAGATCTTGGGGGTCTTGATGTGCATCTCGGGCATCTTGAACTTGGGGCCTTTCACTTTTCCTTCAGGACCCTCGATGTCAACACTTGGCAACTCAACATCTGCTTTTGGGATGGAAACATCAATATCTGCTTTTGGGAGGCTCACATCCACCTCTGGACCTTCTGCTTTGAACCCCGGCATCCCAAACTTGGGCATTTTGAACTTGGGCATCTTGAATTTTCCTTCTGGACCATGAACGTCCACATCAGGAGCCTCAATGTCAACCTTGGGGCCCTTGATGTCCACCTCAGGTCCCTTCAGGTCACCTTCCAGCTTGGGAAGAGAAACATCCACATCACCTTTCACTTTGGGGCCCTTCAGGTTGAAGTCAACGTCGGGCATGGAGATCTTGGGTGCTTTGATGTTGAAGTCCGGCATCTTGAACTTGGGGCCCTTCAGCTTCCCCTCTGGACCTTCCAGCTCAACGTCAGGAAGGTCAACGTCAACCTTGGGGCCTTTGATGTCAATGTCGGGGCCCTTCAGGTCACCTTCCAGCTTGGGAACAGACACGTCCACGTCTCCCTTCACTTTGGGACCTTTCAGGTTCAGGTCGATGTCGGGCATGGAGATCTTGGGGGTCTTGATGTGCATCTCCGGCATCTTGAACTTGGGGCCCTTCACCTTCCCCTCTGGCCCTTCAATGTCCAACTCTGGACCAGAAACCTCCAGGTCTCCTTTGGGCAGGTTCACATCCACCTCCGGACCTTCTCCTTTGAACCCCGGCATCCCAAACTTGGGCATTTTGAACTTGGGCATCTTGAATTTTCCTTCTGGACCATGAATGTCCACATCTGGTGACTCAATGTCAACCTTGGGGCCCTTGATGTCCACCTCAGGTCCCTTCAGGTCACCTTCCAGCTTGGGAAGGGAAACATCCACATCACCTTTCACTTTGGGGCCCTTCAGGTTGAAGTCAACGTCGGGCATGGAGATCTTGGGTGCTTTGATGTTGAAGTCCGGCATCTTGAACTTGGGGCCCTTCAGCTTCCCCTCTGGACCTTCCAGCTCAACATCTGGAAGGTCAACATCTAATTTTGGCCCCTTAATGTCAACCTCAGGTCCCTTCAGGTCACCTTCCAGCTTGGGAACAGACACGTCCATGTCTCCTTTCACTTTGGGGCCCTTCAGGTTCAGGTCGATGTCGGGCATGGAGATCTTGGGGGTCTTGATGTGCATCTCGGGCATCTTGAACTTGGGGCCCTTCACCTTCCCTTCAGGGCCTTCAATGTCCAACTCTGGACCTTCAATGTCCACCTTCGGGCCAGAAACATCCAGGTCTCCTTTGGGCAGGCTCACGTCCACCTCCGGACGCTTTGAACCCCGGCATCCCAAACTTGGGCATTTTGAACTTGGGCATCTTGAATTTTCCTTCTGGACCATGAACGTCCACATCAGGAGCCTCAATGTCAACCTTGGGGCCCTTGATGTCCACCTCAGGTCCCTTCAGGTCACCTTCCAGCTTGGGAAGAGAAACATCCACATCACCTTTCACTTTGGGGCCCTTCAGGTTGAAGTCAACGTCGGGCATGGAGATCTTGGGTGCTTTGATGTTGAAGTCCGGCATCTTGAACTTGGGGCCCTTCAGCTTCCCCTCTGGACCTTCCAGCTCAACGTCAGGAAGGTCAACGTCAACCTTGGGGCCTTTGATGTCAATGTCGGGGCCCTTCAGGTCACCTTCCAGCTTGGGAACAGACACGTCCACGTCTCCCTTCACTTTGGGACCTTTCAGGTTCAGGTCGATGTCGGGCATGGAGATCTTGGGGGTCTTGATGTGCATCTCCGGCATCTTGAACTTGGGGCCCTTCAGCTTCCCCTCTGGACCTTCCAGCTCAACATCTGGCAGGTCAACATCTACTGTCTCCTTTGGGCAGGTTCACGTCCACCTCTGGACCTTCTGCTTTGAACCCCGGCATCCCAAACTTGGGCATTTTGAACTTGGGCATCTTGAATTTTCCTTCTGGGCCATGGATGTCCACATCTGGTGCCTCAATGTCGACCTTGGGACCCTTGATGTCCACCTCAGGTCCTTTCAAGTCACCTTCCAGCTTGGGAACAGTCACGTCCACACCACCCTTCACTTTCGGGCCCTTCAGATTGATGTCCACATCAGGCATGGAGATCTTGTGTGGCTTGATGTGCACCTCAGGCATCTTGAACTTGGGGCCCTTCACCTTCCCTTCCGGTCCTTCAACATCCAGCTCTGGACCCTCAACGTCCACCTTTGGGCTGGAAACATCCAGATTTCCTGTCTGCAGTTTCACATCCACCTCTGGACCTTCTGCTTTGAACCCCGGCATCCCAAACTTGGGCATTTTGAACTTGGGCATCTTGAATTTTCCCTCTGGACCATGAATGTCCACGTCTGGTGCCTCAATGTCAACCTTGGGGCCTTTGATGTCCACCTCAGGTCCCTTCAGGTCACCCTCGATCTTGGGAGCTGAGACTCCAAGGTCCCCTTTCACGCTGGGTCCTTTCAGGTTCACGTCCACGTCGGGCATGGAGATCTTGGGTGCCTTGATGTGCATCTCGGGCATCTTGAACTTGGGGCCTTTCACTTTCCCTTCGGGGCACTCCAGATCAATATCTGGTGCCTCAATGTCTACTTTTGGCCCCTTGATGTCTATTTCTGGCCCTTTCAAATCACCTTCTATCTTGGGAGCCACCACCTCCATTTCTCCTTTCACTTTCGGTCCCTTTAGGTTCAGATCTACATCCGGCACGGAGATTTTGGGGGTTTTGATGTTCAGCTTCGGCATCCTGAACTTGGGACCTTTCCATTTGCCTTCTGGTCCTGCAACATCCAGCTCTGGCCCTTCAATATCTACCTCTGGCCCGGAAATATCCGCCTCTCCTTTCGGCAGGTTGACATCGATATCGGCTCCCTCGAATTTGGGACCGGAGAGGTTGAAATGAGGCATTTTAATTTTTGGCATTTTTAGTTTGGCTTCTGGACACTCCAGGTCGACATCCGGGACCTCAACATCTATTTTTGGTCCCTTGATATCAACACCAGAGCCTTTCAATTCACCTTCTACTTTTGGAAGAGTAACATCCATCTCGCCTTTTTTAGGGCCCTTTAGGTTCAAATCGACATCCGGCATCGAGATTTTAGGTGCCTTGATATTAAACTTTGGCATCTTAAATTTCGAGCCTTTTATTTTCCCTTCTGGACATTCCAAGTCCACCTCAGGCACCTCAACATCCACTTTGGGACCTTCCACGTCTATTTTGGGGCCCTTCAGATCTCCAGAGGCTTTCAGACCAGAAATATCGGCATCTCCTTTCAGTTTTGGGGCCTTCAAATGGAGATCGACGTCTGGCATGGAGAGTTTTGGGGTCTGAACGTTCAGTTCGGGCATTTTCAATTTGAGACCTTTTCCCTTCAATTCCGGCCCTTCGATGTCCACGCTTGGCACGTCAATGTCCACCTTGGG